AAAAAAAAAAAAAAAAAAAAAAAAAACATTAAAAAAATAAAAAAAAAATTAAAAAAAAAAAAAGGATGTGACATCACTCCAATGACCTGAATCTAATTAAGATAACGTATCAGACAAATCCAAATTGAGGGGCATTCTACCAAATAACTGGCCAGAACTCTTCAAAAATGGCAAGGTCACAGAAGGAACAATTCCAGACTAAAGATACATTTCATTATATGCAAATGCACCAGGGAACCTGCGACCACAGAAAGATTTTAGGATGACAAACTGGCAAAATTTGAATATGGTCTGCAGCTTAGAAAATCGTGTTGTAATGGGGCGCCTGGGTGGCTCAGTCGGTTAAGCATCCGACTTTGGCTCAGGTCATGGTCTCGTGGTTCGTGGGTTTGAGCCCCGCGACGGGCTCTGTGCTGACAGCTGAGAGGCTGGAGGCTGCTTAGGACTCTGTGTCTCCCTCTCTCTTTCTCTCCGCCCCTCCCCTGCTCACACACTCTCTCTCAAATAAAAATAAACATTAAAAACAAATTTAAAACTAAAATTTATAAACCATTAAAAAAAAGTGTTGTATCAATGTTAATTTCCTGATTTTGGTCATTTCACTGCGGTTAGGTAAGAGAACATCTTTATTTCTAGAACAGACACCTCAGAGTACTAAGAGGCAAAGGGGCACAAAGGTTTGCAACTTAGAAACATTTCATTTTTAAAATTATATATCTGTACAGAGAGAGAAAGAAAATACGAATGAATGATAAAATGTCAACAGGGTGAAGGAAATTCCATACACTGTTTTTGCAAATAAAAGAATTAATACTGTAAATGGAAGTTAACAAAGGAATCTACTTTCAAGTAAATGGCAGAGTGTGGGAAGAATCCTATGAAGGATTTATAAAGGATTTATTTTTATAAAAAAAGTTGAGAATTTTCTCAAACTCGCTTCACTCGCACCTTCCCTTGGACGCCCACCTGTTTTTTGCTTCCCCTCCCCTAACACTGTCACTGCTTCCTGCTTCCTTCCCCGGCTCGCTGTCCCTGACTCACGGTCTTTTTCCATTTACCCTTGTCAGCAAATTCCTTCACTCCCAAAGGTCCTTAACTCTTCAGAATTTTGAAAACGATGGCATTTAAAAGAATAAATCAACGATCCTGAATGAGTTTCATCCTTCTGCTTAATTTAAAACTCGGATGGCTTTACTGTTTTTAGGTCTACCACTTAAGCTTTCTACTAGATGAAGGTGCTTCTTACTTTACCATGAAATCAGGTAGTAAGTTCATGCACAGAATCGAACAGTACAATGCAGAAAATCACGCATTATAGGATCTTATTTTTAGGGGCGCCTGGATGGCTCAGTTAGTTAAGCATCCGACTTTGGCTCAGGTCAAGATCTCACAGTTCATGAGTTTGAGCCCTGCATTGGGCTGTGTGCTGACAGCTCAGAGCCTGGAGCCTGCTTCAGATTCTGAGTCTTCCTCGCTCTCTGCCCCTCCCCTGCTCACACTCTGTGTGTGTCTCTCTCTCTCATAATAAATAAACATTAAAAAAACCTTTTTAAGTCCCTAAAAATGAATAATCTAGGACACCCAGGTGGCTCAGTCAGTTAAGAGGCTCCGGTCATGGAATCATTCGTGAGATCGACCCCCCTAGGCAGGGTCTATGCTGAAAGCATGGAGCCTAGAGCCTGCTTGGGATTCTCTCTCTCCTCTCTCTCTGCCTCTCCCCCAGAGGGTGTGCACTCTCTCTCAAAATAAATAAACATTAAAAAAATAAAAACTTAAAAATAAATAAAAATCAGGGTGCCTGGGTGGCTCAGTCAGTTAAGCGTCTGACTTCAGCTCAGGTCATGATCTCACAGTTCGTGGGTTCGAGCCCCGCGTCGGGCTCTGTGCTGACAGCTCAGCGCCTGGAGCCTGTTTCAGATTCTGTGTCTCCCTCTCTCTCTGACCCTCCCCTGCTCACGCTGTCTCTCTTTCTCTCTCTGTCAGAAATAAATAAAAACATTAAAAAATAAATAAATAAAAATGAATAATCTAAGCCAACACTTTTTTTAAACTCTGAAGGCTCTTAGACCAAACTGCAGTTAACGTGCTGAGGACAGTTGCTGGCACGTATCAGCACCAAAAAATACGGGCTGAGGGAATGAATGCATGCAAGCGCTCTTGGGGTAGGATTATCAGGGACATTCAGTTTCTAGATTCTATAATACTTCCATTATTATGGAACATTTTTGTCTCTCTCCTTCTGACCCCCAAAGAAGGCGGCGATAAAGACATTTTTAAAGGAGCTCCTAAACCCAAATTACAAATCCTCAAGATTTAGGGTCAGAGAGACTGTATGTGATAATGAGGAGATCTGAAGTGCTCTAACGGCTGGGAGAGGAAGTCCCTGAAGAGTCCAGAACAAGGATAAATACCAAAGTTTCTGAATGAACTAAAGAGAGCTCCTTCCCCAGCTTTTCCACACAAGATTACATTATGTGCTTCACGACATTCCTGAATATTTTCCAGTTTGTACCAACGGTGCTATATTCTCTTTGTATTTAGTGTGAGATTCTTCTCGAGGACAACTTTATGCTTTAACTGTTCCTGGCCCAAATTAAGTACAACTGGAAGACAGAGAAAACAGGCTATCGTATCCATCTAAATATTCCTAACACCAAGTCAGATTTAACACACTAAAGGTTGAAACCAGTTACCGCTGACTATTTGATGTTACGTTTCTATATCCACACTGCTTCTGAAGACATTTTTGTACAATGAAAACAACCCAGTGTCTTCATGTGAACTGCGAACCTAGAGGCTAACTGAGCTAACCAGGCCCTGCTGATGTGGCTACGAGTCTTTCAATTCACTGGCAGGCACCATTTTGAGAAGCCGGGTTCTCTGGAAGGCAACGAACGGGGTGACGCAGGCCTGTCTGCGGCGGAGCAGCGGGGCTGGGGAGGGGCGGGGGAGAAGCACAGATCCCCAAAAGAGCAGTCTCATTTCCCTCCTCTCAGCAGATTTCTAATTAACTCAGCTTTGTGTCTGTTATGAATAGCTTCAAATGGAAAGGCTCCAATTCCACATTCTTCTTCATTATGCATGGCTTATTAAAATTGAAATTTCACTGTTTCCAACTCAACCAAATTGATGGTTCAAACTGCTGTGTGCTACGAAGAGTGAAGCATCCGTTTAAGAGACAGGATCAGGATAAAGATGGCCCGGATCAAAACTGGAACAGGCCGGAAACTTCGAGGCCTTCATTTCCTAACCTGCCGCATGAAAATCCTGGGAAAATCCTAACCTTTCCACGTGGCGGGTGCCCAATCTGCCAGGCCAGGAGGATTGCCGGGTGCCCCTCCCTAAGGCACCCTGGACTGAAAAATCAGAGTTGTGAGGCAGGGAATGGTTTCTGAGAGGCCCTTCCTGCTTGGGAACGAGGTTCCCATTCGCAAACACTGACCACTGTCTCCCGGAGGCCCATCCTGCTCAAAAGGAGAGCGTACGGGAGCTTCCCTGGAAAGGACGTGGGAGAGCGCATGCCGGCCCGGCCCGGTACCTGCTCCTCTTCGATCCTGCGCTGTAGTGTTTCGATGTAATGCTGAACAGCCATGTAGATGAAGCGGTACTGGGCTTCCGTTTGGACCATCCCTGACCTCTGAGACCGCACCATCTGAATGGTTTTGGGAACGTCAATGTCACAGTCGACACCTGCAAAGCAAACACCATGAGGTGCTGGGAGACACTGCAGAGCCAGGATGAAGGGGGTTAACACACAACCTTCAGCAGACTCCGAGATAAAGCAAATTCAGTCTTTAATGGTTGAACTGAACGTGATCCGAGGGCTGCACTGGCCTTCCAATCAATACAAAGGATCCCAGAAGATTATCTGAGAAGGTGCTGGAGGTCAGGAACCCCCCACTTTCCAAGCAGCACCGCCCCATAACATCAGCCAAGATGAGGCGCGTGGCAGAGGCCACCGCTGGAGACCACAGCTCGGGACCCCCAGCTCCAGGCCTCATTTATGTCAAGAGCTCAAACAGAACCGCTTTTGTTCTCTCGCAAACAGACTGAAAGTCAAAGTCTTCAGCCTACATCTGTGAAAATGTTTTAACATTCAAATTCTCTCCCTGAGGCTATTTTCACGAGCATTTTCCTTCCATAAACTAACAACAGGAACTATAGCTTCTTGCCCTCCAGATGACCTACCTTTCTCTCTGATGATGTCAATAAGGATATCAATCACAATGAACGTCCCTGTCCGGCCAATTCCAGCACTGTGGGTAGAAGGACAAAGAGCAATGACAATGGAGTCATTCATGGGGGTTTCAGACTCAAAACCAAGCTATTAATATTAACAGAAACAATGTCTGCTCATGGGAGTATTTATAAGACTATCTATTTGTATTTGAGAAAAGATTAGCTAGAGCACAGGGCTTTGGAATTAGTCCAACCTATACTTGGAACCTGGGGCTTCTCCTGTACAATGTGCCTGAGGCAAGTCCCACACACTCTCTGACCCTCAGTTTACTCATCTGTGAAATGGGGACGGTAGTATATGCCTTACAGGGATGTTATGTGCATCAAATGTTAGTAATATATGGAAAACACAAAGCTCAGAGGCTGGCACAGAGCAAGTGCTCAATAAACAGCTTTTTAAAAAAAATTTTTTTTCATGTTTATTTTTGAGAAAGAGAGAGAGAGAGACAGAGCGTGACCAGGGGAGGGGCAGAGAGAGAGGGAGACACAGAATCCGAAGCAGGCTCCAGGTTCCGAGGTGTCAGCACAGAACTCAACGTGGGGCTCAAACTCATGAACCCTGAGATCATGACCTGAGCTGAAGTTGGACGCTTAACCGACTGAGCCATCCAGGTGCCCCAAGAGTAGCTTTTTAAAAAAGGGAATAAGGTTTCACACACAGCTATTTGTCCAACACATGGATGAGATCTGGGAAATTAAACTTTCCCCAGTGTAACCACGAAGCCCAGACTTGGGCACCAGTGGGCTGTAAACTGTGGTGAGAGGCTGTAGGCATGGCCTTCAGAGGCCTGTTTGGGGAGTGGTCTGAATCTTTGAAAGCAAACAAGTATATTATTGGGGGAAAATGGACCTTATTTATGTGGCAGAAGAGAATACAATCATGATTAAAGTGATGAACCCTAAGTCACTATATTATAAAAGGAAACTGGGGGTGCCTGGGGGGCTCCGTCGGTTGGGCGTCTGACTCTTGATTTCGGCTCAGGTCATGCTCTCACGGTTTGTGGGTTCAAGCCCCGTGCCATGGCTGTCAGCACCAGAGCCTGCTTGGGATTCTCTCTCTCCCTCTCCTCCGCACACATGCACTCTCTCTCTCTCAAATAAGCACTAAAAATGTTTTTAATAAGTAGAAATTAAAAAAAAACAGGAAAACCAAGCTGACATTACGAGACGACAGAAGGGTTCCTTGAGAATGAGGATGCTGCGGGAGAAACACAGTCTGGGGGCTGAGTGTCCCTCAGTGCAGTCTACACACGCCTCCAGCAAGGGTAAATGCTTCTCAGGGCAAAGAGCGGGGGTGGGTAGGTACAAACAAGCCCTGAGCATTAAGAGGCGGCCAGTCCACAGCCCCGAGCGGCGTCAGGGCCGGTCACCTGCAGTGCACCACCACGGGCCCCGCGTCCACGATGCTCTCTTGCTTATGGTGGACCTCCTCCAGGAAGTCCAGCACGCCCCCGGGGTCAGTGGGCACCCCATGGTCTGGCCAGGTCCGAAAGTGGTACTGCCACACGGTTCTCTCTGTATTGCCCTGGAGTAGAGCCAAGAAAAACCAGAGAAAGAATTAAATAAATCAAGGGGTTGAGGAATCGCCGCTTCTGATCCTTCCCAGAGCCCATGTGCGAGTTTCCCATATCATCCCTCCTGGATCTGGCTGAGCAGCGCTGCAGGCAAGTCCTTGCCTCTGTCATGAACCAAAATGTTCGCTGTAGCAATGGGAATGTCACAACCTGAATCACCTCTCAGTATCCTCGCGGCAGGGGGTGCCCTCGTCCCCCCATGTCCACACGGAGCTCAACTCGGGAGGCAATGGAGGCCTCTGGGCCCCGGGTTCTCCCAGGGGCCCAGCAGATGAGAAAACAGCTCTCCCCTCAAGACCTGTTTGCTTCTTTCTTTTTTTATACTCAGCCCTCCTTTCCTCCCCCAAAACACCCACTTTTATTATAATATCACGGTATTTTAAATTTCTGTTTAGTGCAAAGTAGTTAAAAAGGCAGGCTTTGCAATCAGAAGGCTGGGTCTTAGGCCTCAATCCCAGAATTCCCCCTGTGGTCCCCAGATGTCTCTAAGCATCAATTTCTTCACTTGCAAATCGGATAAGGTCTCTCACAACCCTACTGTGAGGATTCAACAGGACCGAGGAACACAGCCACTACTTGGTGGCGGCAGCAGACTTAACCACGGTCTGAAGAGAGGGACCCTTAATAAAGGTCAGGACTATGGAAGACCGGGCACCTGGGTGGCTCGGTCAGTTAAGCGTACAACACTTGATTTTGGCTCAGGTCATGATCTTATGATTCGGGAGCCCGAGTCCCGCGTGGGGCTCTGCACGGACAGCACAGAGTCTGCCTGAGATTCTCCCTCCCTCTCCCCGGCTCTTTCTCTCTCAAATAAACATTAAAAGAGAGAGAGAGAGAGAGAAGACTAAAAGCGCCGTGTTCCCAATCTACCCAGATGAGGCCATTGTAGCTCTGCTGTTCACTGTTGCATGTTTGTGCTACATATCTGAAGGCAACCCAAGCTTCCGATGTTTCTAAAGGAGATTTTTAAAAGAGAGCAATTAAGCCAGTGCCCACCACCAGCGACTCTCAAGACATCCAAGGAATCTGAACCAGAATTAGGATCTTTTCTTGAATTACATGCATTTAGTTTACTGATGTCACGATAAAAATTTGCCTTGACGATACCAGTTGGCCAAAGCTCAGGGGCCACACGGGTCAGAGAACACTGCGGGAATGAGGCCCAGCTGCCCTGCACACCCACGCTCCTCCTCCCTGGTAAACCTCTGTCCCACGAGATCTCTGCTGGCCAGTTAGGAAGCTTAAAGGAGATCATGTCATCGCACTTTAGAAAAAATGTAATGTGTTATATAAATAGCAGGTAACATGTGACCAGCAATTCTAGAGAAATAATCTGTCCTGTGTCAGCACCTGAATCCACAGGTATAAAACACGAACCCAAATGCCAACCTTTCCTGTACCTGCTGTTCAAAAATCTCAGTTAACAGAAGATGGATGGTTTATTACTAAAACAAGAAAAACCCACCTGCTACTCAGAAACGCCTGATAACAGAAAGATGGGCGGTTACCTCCAAAACTAAACAAAGCCCCGCGGCATCTCTGGCCAGTGTCTTCTAAGTCTCTTTCGTTTCTGCAGCTTCTGCTGTGTCTTTCCAGTTTCCCTCTCGATCTCTATGGCGGAGTGAACCCCCCCCCCGCCACCATGGGCAGAACCACACCCCCACTGACATCAGAAGTGGCAGCAACTGCGCAGGCTTCCAGCTCGCTTTTGGCCCTCAGCAGACCGCCGGGCCCTCCCCGACTCTCCACCTGCTTTCCCCATCCCCTTGGTGGGCTTCGGTTCTGGGTCCTATTCTGACAACCGCCCTCCCCCACATACCTCCCCTCCCTCCACTCTCGCTCCCTCCACCCCATCCCTGGGCCAAGCCCCAAGCCTGTACAAAACCAACCACCCACCTTCTCTGTTTTATATCCAAGGAACGGAGCGTCCTAGGAGAAAAGTCACACCGAGGGACCGGTGTCGCTAAGTGTTCACGTTCGCCCCCTCAGCAGGGCACTCAGCGCTGCCCGAAATCAGGCTGGATTCCCCTCCTCCCTGCTCTGACTACATTACCACTCAATACTTTCCCCACCGTCCCACACAGTTCGTCTCAGAGTCTCTCTGAATACCAGCTGATGGCCTGGCCGCACAGAGAACAGACAGGAAATCCATTCCAGCTCCTCTACCTGCACCTGTGGCCACCGTCTCCTCTTCCCGTCCCGCCGCCACAGAAGGACTGACCGTCCACCCCCCACGATGCTCTGGGTCCCACCTCCCTCCTCGTTCACATTCCTGCCTCCCTGGCATCTTCGCTTTGATGTCTCAAAGGCATCTCACCATCTACACGTCCAGAAGGTTGCTGACCCTCCCGCCCTCAACTCCACGCCACCAACCCCGCGCTCCCGCTAGAAAACTGGGGGTCATCCTTAACGCCAGCCTCGGCCCTCATCCGCACTGTCACCAAACCCCTTCGCGTCTGCTCAATTACCTCCAGGCGGCCCCCCTCCGTCCACCGCTCCACCGTTCACCTGGGCAGCTGAAGCTCTGCCACCCTGTACATCCTCTGCCAGCTCTCTGGCCTCATCACAGCACCACCGCCCACTGCGTTTGGCTGCCCCTCCTCCACCTCCTCCTCCAATAGCCCAACTGTGCCCACGTCCCGCAGGTGCCACCTCAAGGCGTCCATCGCTCCTCTTCCACCATTTGTTCTGGCATTTACATGCTATTCATTTCCAAAGGCGGGAATAAGAAGCAAAACAAGAAAGAGCAACTGCCAGAGTCCCCAGGATCTGAGCTGGAGGGGAGGCTGGCAGACCCAGACCACCACAGCGGCCTCCTAACAGGCCTGCCGGCCACTTGGGCCACTCGGCCTGGCCTCCCCCACCCCCACCCCAAGGCTGTCAGACACCTTCCTGGCACACGGCGAGTGTGTGCACTCACTTGGCACCAACATCACTACGGGCTCCGGGATAACTAGCGCACGGAGTTCACATTCTTAACATGGGAGTTAAGACTCTTCCCAACTTGGTACCAGCCTCTCTCTCTAGTCTCCATCTCCCACCTGCCTTCACTCCCCACAAATCCCATTCCCCTTCCGTCTGCACTGCAGTGCCAGGCTCACCGGGACACCTCCCTCTGGGAGCCCTCTCTCCATCATCTTCTCCGATGGAAACCTCACATGGAAAAGCCCCGCCTCTTTTGAGACAGTCTCCCTGACGCCCCAGAGGAAGGACGCTCAGCCTTTGCAATTCCATGACACTTCGGATTTGTTACAGCCCGGGTCCACGGTGAGGCTATCTATACCTGTGGCTTCTCACAGCTACGTGATTTTAATTCCTTGAGGACAAAGGTTTCATTTGTCCCTGTGTCCCCAAAAGGCCTTGAAAAAATAAGCCCCCTCTCACAATGAAATGAAAATAAATCCAAATCCAACACCGTTCTGTGAAGTTAGTCACCCCAGTAACACACTTAAACTGCATGCAGTTAAGACCTGATGCCATGGAATCCGATCACTAAACAGGCCTCAGGGCCTTTGCACTTGCTGCTCCCACCGCCTGGAACACTCCTCTCTGGACGCTCTAGGTGCCTGGGTCCCCCACCTCCAGCTCAAGTGACACAGCCTCAGGAAGGTTGTATCTGACTCTCTGACAGTCATCTCCCTCATTACTCCATCTCTAGTACCCAGTCACTTCTAACAGGACATCCTGGAGCCCTGGGAGACTGAGCACAATTGGAAAGCTTAGTTGGTTGTTTGCTTTGTAACCTTCCATCTCCTTAGGCTCGGAGGGCAGGAATCGTGGCTGTCTTGTTGCCACCATCCCAGCGCGCATCCGGTACACAGAAGACACCCAATCAGCAAGTGAATGAGAGCGTGGATATATGCAGATGTGGGTGACTCCAGGACCCGGGATTGGTGCATACCATGACCAGTTACCAAAGTCTCTAAGAAACGACAATATACTTACTTGTCCAACCTTCGAAAGTTTAAGTTCTCTTAATGTATAGTCATGAGCGGCACTTTCTTTGACGTTCCTAACACGCATGACCCCATATTCTTTGAGAGCACACTCGTCGGGCCAGTATTTGACACACTTACTCTGAAAGGGATCAGAGAGAAGATAGTTAATCTCTGTGAATTCTGAAATGAAAAGCCCAGATCAGCAGAAAATAAACGTTCGAGTCCTGCTTAATAACCAAGATACAGAAAATGGCCTGTCTGGCATCTGTTAGAATTTCAAAGAAAAGGAAAAATAAGTTGAAATAAGAAAAGCAGGTGCTTGGAAAGCCGGGGAGAGTAGGGGGAAGAGAGGTCAGCCTTTGCAGAGTCGGCTGATCTAAGACCCATGTGAAGGGACCGTCAAGGACTGTTTACTTATCTCTAAGGAACCAAAGGTGCAGAGTGAGGGACTGCCAGTTTGAGGGGTCTGCCTAGCCACCACTGAACTCTGGATTCCAGGGATCTGCCAGTCACTCCGCAGGGGACCCAAGCCATCACTCTGGAAATGGATGGGCTCCCCCAAGAGCCACACTGTCTGGGTCGCTTCCGCACCCGCGTGGGAGGACTCCGTGCCTTATCTAACCCAAGTGTGAACAACTCCAGCACCGAAAGGCAGCGATGCAGTTTTGAACCAGCTGCTTCTTCTATATCCAGCTCCATCTGATACCTACCACACACGTCACCTTCGCTTAGTGGGTGCCTGGGAACGCCAAGCCTGTAATAGCTGCTGGCTTCAGAGCAGACAGATTGAAAAATATGGCACCAAGTAAATCATTCTTGTTGCCAAAGAGGAAGATATTTAGCTCAATGAGAGATGCGTCTGTATATATTTGGTGATGTGCCCCGGGCAGAGGAGGTTTTTGTGTTTTGGTTTTTTCTGGGAGTGGACTTTCCACAACCACTGAGACATCAAGAGAAAAGGCAAGAGACATTAGCATGAGAAACTCACCTTTTATGCTGAGAAGACAAAGAGATTCAGCTATAGTACTAGAAATAAGAGAGCAGCTGCAGGCATCCCCATAGTCAATGATTAATTGAAAGGGTGAGGGGGAGAAACATGGCAGAAGGAAGTTGACCAGAAGTATTAACAGACAGTACAACTTTTTTGCCTGGCAATGGCTTACACAGTCTTTCATTATTATTCCGAATTCAGCTTTCTCTCCAGCATTCTGTAGATCCAAATACTTCTTTCACTGATTTGATACAATTTTTATTATCCCCACGTAAGCACTTTTAATATTAATGGTACCCAGTGCAGTGGTTGTGACTGCTGGCTGCTCAAGAGACTCAACAGAGCACAAAAAATTAAATCGTAACTCTGAAAACATTTCAGCGGACTTTAAGTATCAGCAGACTACTGCGGCCCTCCTCCCAGTTTTCCAAACTCTGACATTGACTTTGGCAGACAAATTCTAAAATGTGAGCACTAATACCTCAGTTTTTAAACTAAAGCCCAGGAATCAAAAGGAATCCAGAGTCTGGATTTTCTCCTGAGCAATGTTGGGTGGAGAGGGGGACCTGAGAGAGCAGGTTATCAGAACCACCTGTGGAGAGAATGTGTCCATTATCCTCTCCATCTCGGACTGAAGAGCATCATCGGGAAGCCAGTGCAGACTTGGGGGCAGAGGTGAGGAGTGGGGGACAGTGATTTGCCCAATGTCTGTCTGTTCTAGGAGCTTCCGGCAGCTCTTCTGAAAGGGACCAAAACTAATTCCTCTGAAGTGACAAAAGAACCCTTTCTTCATGCCCTCTGGTCCCCTGAGAAGAGGGAGCATCCTATGAGACGGACAACAGGCAGGACAGAGGGCTCAGTTTTCCATTCTATACATAGGGCAGGTGATAGTCACCCGAAGCAGACACTAGGAAGGTGTTTTAACCTGTCCATTAATTCAAGAACATCCAATGTTGCTGCACGTAGCTGCTGGAGGAAGCCTTTGCTTCACAGTGACCAGGTCTAGCCTCAAATGTTTTTAGGAGTGCTGAAACTGGTTAGCACAATGACAAAAATCTTAGAAAATCACACCGCCCTTCAAAACTGATAGGAAAATTACATTAGAGCACTAAAATCCAAATCACCCATCTGTCTTAGGTTTAACTTACAGACATGACTGCTGTATTCCATGAAAATTTTATGCAAACCAATTAAAGTATAACTACAAAAGAACTTTGACTAGAACGCAAAAACACAGGACTTTTCCACATTAAAAACCCACATGGACGGGCTCACTTTGGGATAAGGCACAAAGCCTTACTCAGTGAGATCCATCTGCTTCTCAGTAGGTGTGGGATGCTATAATTTTTAAAGGCCATAAGGGTCACGGAAAGTATAGGGAGAGGAGTAGTGGGCATGCGCAGCTGGGGAGGGGGTGCGCGCTAGATCAACCCCTCGGGGGCAGTTTGGCAGTATTTATTGTAATTTACAACACGCACACCCTAGGACCTGGCCTTTCTTTTTCTTGCATCTACCCTAGAGAAACACCTGCCACATGCATACCTACACAAGCAGGAATGAGATTATTCACTTCAGCACTGCTTGTTAAGAGCAAAAACTGAAACACTTAAAGGCTCAACACAAAATGGAGAAATAAATTATGGTATATCCTCACCACGGAAAATCACGCAACTTACTAAATAGAGACTGGCCGATATGCACTAACAGTAGATGTTATTAGAACATTCACTTTGGTGGGGCCCAAGATGCACAACAAAACCCATGCATGAAAACACTTTTACATACAGTATTTTTCAGCAGTTAGTACTATATACTTCCATAGGCACCCACAGATCTGTAAATACATGCATATACGTAAATGTAGGTACGTAATGCCTCCCATACACGTACGTATGTAAATGCCAAGAAGAGAGTACGGAAGAATACACATCGCACTGGTAACGGGGCTATTAAATGGGTAGACAAGGGATGGTGACAAAGGCAACTTTAACCATGACGATAATGCGTTCAAATTAATTTTTAAATGCCTACAAGTCATGGTAAGTATGATTTAATGACCAGTGAAATCACTAGTGTTAGTACCAATCTTTTGAAGGTACTAGATAGGGCTTTTCACATTGCCTTCTAGACCTCTGCTCCTGGATACAATAAAGTAACAGGGGCTAGATTTACCCTTCCACCTTAAACAACTAAAAAAACAGGAAAAATGAAAAGACATATATAACAGAATTAGTAATAAGGACTGTTCTTAATGAAAACAGTTATTACAAATATACTCCATATGGCCAAAAGGTTTAAGTTAAAGAGAGACAGACGGCATTAAAAACAAAACTCGGTTGGTTGAGCACCTGACTTCAGCTCAGGTCATGATCTCACGGTTCATAAGTTTGAGCCCCATTTCTGGTTCTGTGCTGACAGCTCGGAGCCTGGAGCCTGTTTCAGATTCTGTGTCTCCTTTTCTCTCTGGCCCTCCCCTGTTCGCGCGCTCTCTCTCTCTCTCTCTCTCTCTCAAAATAAACAAACAAACGTTAAATAATTTAAAAACAATTTTTTTTAACAAACACAAAAACAAATGGGTGACAGACATTAAGGAGAACACTTGTTGGGATGAGCACTGGGTGTTATATGTAAGTGATGAATCACTAAATCCTACTCCTGAAATCATTATCATACTATATGTTAACCTGGATTCAAATGAAATAGAAAATTTCAATAATAATAATAATAAATTATTTTTACATATTAAAAAAAATAAAACAAGAAAACTTCCAGAGAAGAAAAAGACAAGTGTCTGCTGCAGAGAACACACTGAATAGTACTAACAGCAGATGACACACTGCAGAAAAAAAAATCAACCTGAAGACATAACAGCAAAACAAAGTGTCCAAAACGAAACCAAGAGGGAAAAAGCCAGCTGAGCAAAAGGAACAAAGCCTCCATGGGCTGCAGGACAGCATCAAGCAGCCTACTGTACGTGTAACCGGTGTCCCATGTCTGAAGAAATAATAAACATTCCCAAATTTGAAGAAAACTATACATCCCACAGATCCAAGAAGCTCCGTGAACCCCAAGCAGAAGGAACCTAAAGAGAACTACACCGTGGCCTGCTGTAATCACATTTCTTAGATCTACTCCCTTTCCTCCAGAGGGTCAGTCAGAGGAAGCCTAATTTGTTTATTCGATTCTTAACATGGTCACCCTGACCTGTCTGACAGTTCACAGTGTATCAGAAGAGCGTGGGGTGTACCTTTCCTCTCTCCACTTCTTTCGTTGTCATGACAATCACTCGGGAGTTCTCTTGAAACACCATCCGCCAGAAGTCGTTCACCGTGTTCTGCAGGCAGCCTTGTGTGGCGATGTAACTCTTTTTGGGCTTTGAATTGTTGCATTTGGTTTCAAACTCAGGCTAGAAATTTAGGAAGAAAACCCTTCAGTCACTGGAACGTTGCTTTCAGGTCACAAGAAATACGAAATACAAAAGATGGCTGGCTAGCAATGTCTGCTCAGAAAACCACTGCGGGAAGCAAAGATTACCATGATAATGTTTGCATTGATGTAATCTGAAACAGGCTCATTGGGATCACCATCATGGAGGACAACTCTGGTATGATCGACTGGAAGAAAAAGAGGCCACAGTCACAAAAGTACTCATACTTCTTCGGGACAAATCATTTCAAAAGAGCTCATCCTCAATTCGTCCAAGTTTTATTCACTTAATGATAAACCCAGATAAAAAATGAAATCCTAACTGAGCACAACAACGATCTGAAGACCACATGATGCCTCATCATGCTGTCTTTAAGAAGAAGAAAGAAGCAATAGCAACTGCTTGGTCTTAATAACGTGCTGTGGATATCCAGGATATTACCACTGGGAGAAGCTGGTAAGTATGTGGGGGCCCTCTGTATATTTTTAGAACATCCTGTGAGTCTAAAAGTATTTCAAAACAAAACTTCTTTTTAAACCAAAAGAAGAGTAAAATACAGATAAATCACATGATGTCTGAGATTTGCTTCAACATAATTTTGCGGGAGAGGAGAAGTGGCTCAGAGTATAAATAAAACAGGACTGGGTATGAGTGGACAATGTTGGGAGGTGGGGAGTGGGTATGCATGGTTCTTTATATTATTCTGTCCACTTCTGAATACTTGTGCAATTTTACATAATAAAAATGGTGGCTTTTTAAAAAAATGAAGCACGTTAAAATATAACATCTAGGGGCGCCTGGGTGGTTTAGTCGGTTAAGCGTCCGACTTTTGCTTAGGTCATGATCTCGCGGTTCGTGGGTTCGAGCCCCGCGTCAGGCTCTGTGCTGACTGCCAGCTCAGAGCCTGGAGCCTGTTTCGGAGTCTGTGACTCCCTCTCTCTCTGACCCTCTCCTGCTCACGCTGTCTCTCTCTCTCTCTCTCTCCTAGAAATAAAACATTAAAAAAAAAATTAAAAAAATATATACATATAACATCTAGAAGATAAGATCCTGATAGTGTCAACTGACCAAATTCTGTACAAAAGTACATTAATGGGGGGCGCCTGGGTGGCTCAGTTGGTTGAGCGTCCAACTTCGGCTCAGGTCATGATCTCATGGTTCGTGTGTTCGAGCCCCACATTGGGCTCTGTGCTGACAGCTCAGAGCCTGGGGCCTGCTTCAGATTCTGTGTCTCCCTCTCTCTCTGCCCCTCCCCTGCTCACACTCGGTCTCTTTCTCTCTCTCAAAAATAAATAAACTTAAAAAAAAAATTTTTTTTTTAAAGTACATTACTGGTATACAAATCTGAGAACTCTGCCTAACCAGCTTATTTTACAATGGGAATTAGTGATATAGTTGTATGCCTTGGACCGTCATCTCTAAAGAAATAAGATGTTAATCAGGAGGAAGCATCTGACTGGGACCTTTAAGAGAGGAAAAGGCAACGATACGCTGTTCAGATACTGCATATGATTGTTCCTGTCACCTTTTCCTACATGACTGCATCTCACTAATGAGTTCCATGAGGCCTCCTGAGCAGAGAGGAAAACTCAGACATAAACAGGATGGGGCTGCCCCAAGGTCATCAGGACCATGCTGTGGCTCAAACTGATTCCCTGCAAATTCCTATTGCCTTTTCTCACTGTCACGAACGCCTCCACTTTCTCCCACCCTCATCCACACACATTTCAAATAACCGTTTGGATGTGATGTACATACGTATCATGTATGTGTCAATACGTACGCAGAGAAAGACTACCTACACACACACACACACACACACACACACACACACACACACACGACAGGTTTCAGATACCTGACAGAATGGCCTGGACCCGATGAGACAGGAGAGCAACGCTCACCAAACTGGCTCATGCATCCCAATAAACTTTGTGAAGTTTCTGAACACTGAAATATATACACATGTATATACAAACATGCCCTATTTTTAAGTTTGGTAAATACATTATGCATGCACTGCCATCAATCTGTATGTCAGATTTAAATTTTTCTATCTTTTTTTAGATGAAGGATATAAATCAAGAGAAGTTCTAAGTGTTCCCTCCCCGCACCCCGGCGGGCTGCCTTGTACGGCCCGCTCTGGAGACCTCGCCACGAGCACGGCACTCAGAGCAGCGACTGTGAGGGTTCCTGTGCCAGTGTGCCCGCTTGTGACCTTGCTGAAATGGTCTAGAAAACCGGGAGAATAAGGATACCTGCTCTGTGCTCTGAGGTGTAAAGTAAGTGACCCAGGTGCAGAGCCCGGCACAGAGCTAAAACAATGGTTTAGTGTTATCTCTGGGGTCCTCACCACAAGCCTCTGTCCTTCCTCTTGTTCCCTGGGGCACCTGGGGCTCCACCAGGCAGCACTTGAGAAATTAAGTGCCTTATGAATCCTGAGGGACCTCTTTGGAGCTAAGTGTAGGTATGCACCTATATCTCCTGTGACTTGAGCTCAGAGGCCCAGGGAGCAGAGCAGTCTGGGTCCTTGAGAGGAGGCCACCTGCTCCCCAGGAGAGGGAATGGAGGCCCACAAAGAGGTGTGTCTTCTCCAAGACCCACGAGCTGGGTTGTGCAGGGCAAGGACAGCCTGGGATCTCTGAGGGTCATGGTGTGGCCTGACCCTGGGAGATGGCAAGCCCTGAGATTCTCCTCTTTTTTTTTTTATGTTTATTTATTTTTGAGGAAGAGAGAGACAGACTACAAGGGAGGGAGGGGCAGAGAGAGAGGGAGACACAGAATCTGAAGCAGGCTCCAGGCTCCGAGCTGTTAGCACAGAGCCTGATGCGGGGCTCGAACTCATGATCCGCGAGATCACGACCTGAGCCGAAGTCAGATATGTTTTAACCGACTGAGCCACCCAAGCTCCCCTGAGAGTCTCACTCTTAGGCAGACAGAGTTAATTAACAAAAGGAAACAACACGCTCAAGACCACCCGGTGGCAATTTTCCCCAGGACCAGGGTCACAGGAACTCAGTGAACGCCATCCTCCATCCCCTTCACATTTGATGATTTTGGAAACTGCTCACAATGAAAAGAGCCTAAGGCCTCGGATCTGCTAAGAAGGCACGGAGCTCCTGGGAAAAGCCACAGGGACACCGAGGAATCAAACTCTCCAAGAGTGACTATTACCGAACAGAGTATCAAATACTTACAGGGCAGGATGTTTTTATATCTATTTTTGTTCTTATTTTCTTGCCTCTGACCCTCTTTTCGGCTGTAGAGAAGTTTGCACTCCTGTTGCTGTAGTGTCTGGAGAGAAAAAAAAGTAAGTTATTATTGCAAGGCGAAAGCTTTAAAAAAAAAAAAAAAAAAAAAAGGACTGGCTCAGCATTTCTGCTCTAGGAATGTTATCCTCGGAAACGTTCAGCACCGCACGCAACAGCTACAGGAGTGCGCGTCCTAACACCGTGTCAACGTTGCCAAGATCCATTTCCAAGAAGAAAGGACAGCCTGGCTGGCACTACCATTAATTCACACAAACAAATGTTCTGCAGCCATTTCAAAAAAATGTTCTTGGAGAATTTAAAAAAAAATTTTTTTTAATGTTTTATTTATTTATTTATTTTTTTAATGTTTTATTTATTTCTAGGAGAGAGAGAGAGAGAGAGAACGTGAGCAGGGGAGGGTCAGAGAGAGAGGGAGCCACAGACTCTGAAACAGGCTCCAGGCTCTGAGCTGGCAGTCAGCACAGAGCCCAACACGGGGCTCGAACCCACGAACCACGAGATCATGACCTAAGCGAAAGTCGGACGCTTAACTGACTAAGCCATCCAGGCGCCCCAAATGTTTTATTTATTTCTGAGAGAGAGAGAGAGAGAGAGAGAGAGCGAGCATGAGCAGGGGCGGGGCAGAGAGAGAGGGAGACCCAGAATCTGAAACAGGCTCCAGGCTCTGAGCTGTCAGCACAGAGCCCAACGCGGGGCTCAAACCCACGAACCGTGAGATCACGACCTGAGCCGAAGTTGGACGCCCAACCGACTGAACCACCCAGGCACCCTGTTCTTGGAGAATTTTTAATGCCTTGAAAAAACGATCAGAGGAAGCATTAGTGAAAAGAAGGTCAAACTTCCAAAACAGTGTATTACGTAAGTGGTATGTTTGCATTCGCCTATGTATGTAAGAAACAGCAAAAGAATATACACCAAAATAGTAAAGGGGTGTTTTTTTTCTCAGGGTACTAGGATTATGAAGACTTTTTTTTCACTTTTTTAACCTTTTTTTTTTGCCTACATTTTTTACAGTGAATAAATATTTATAAGGACAGAAACCTTTAAAATTTTTAACTTTTTTAAAAAAATGATTATTTAGTTTTGAGAGAGAGACTGACCGTGAGCAGGGGAGAGGCAGAGAGAGAGGGAGACAGAATCCGAAGCAGGCTCCAGGCTCTGAGCTGTCAGCATAGAGCCCGACATGGGGCTCGAGCCCACAAACCGTGAGATCATGACCTGAGCCGAAGTCAGGCGCTTAACTGACTGAGCCACCCAGGCAATTCTAAGAAACCTTTTAAAATAATAATTATTGAGAATGAAAGTTGGGGCGCCTGGCTGGCTCAGTCAGAAGAACGTTTTATTCTTGAGGTCAGGGTCATGGGTTTGAGCTTCACACTGGGTGTAGGGATTACTAAAAAACCATAAATAAACTTAAAAAAAAAAAAAAGACTGAAAGAAAATGAGCATTGGTGTAGAGCATATAAATCATAGCTGTGACCATGCTCTTGACATTCCGATCTGCTGCCTACTTTTACCGTTGTTTAATTCAGAGCAAGCCACACATTACCTCTCAAATTTGGATACAGCAGAAGTGGTCCTGGGCACCACCCAGTCAAGGGCATGCAAGTGTGGTTCATCCTATGCCAGAAACCCACATTAGCGCCCTAGGCAGCCAGCCCGCGTCTGCCTGCGTCTACACAGATAGCCGCTCCCTATGTTTTCCCCAGCCAGGGAGTAAGGAGGAGCACGTCAGGCTGCTGGAGCAAGCGGCCAGGAGGGACTCACTCCTCTTCAGGAAAGGAGGTGGGGAACGTGATCAGGAAGGGCCACTGCGGGGCTAGCCTCAGCAGAAGAGGGCTTGTGGGGACACAGAGAAGGACTGGCTACAGAAGAAGGCATGAAGGTGGACAAGCCAGGCTGAAGCACGCTCAAGGGATAAGGTTTTATTTTCAAAATTACAAGAAGTACCCCTTTGAGGGACCGTTAGTTTCTAAAAAGTTTAATTTGTAAGTGGAAATGACAAATGGGCAAATCAAAGGGCATCTGGGTGGCTCAGTCTGTTGAGCATCTGACTTCAGCTCAGGTCATGATGTCATGGCTTTTGAGTTCAAGCCCTGTGTCGGGCTGTCCTGACAGCTCAGAGCCTGGAGCCTGCTTCGCATTCTGTGTCTGCCTCTCTCTCTCTCTGACCCCTCCCCATTGTACAATCTCTCTCTCTCAAAAATAAATAAACATTTAAAAAAAGGCAAATCAAGAAAGCGGAAGGCAGATTAAATAAAGAGAAGAAAACATATGTGGGCTATACACATATATACAAATTCCAAAATGGTTAGCCCACAAAAGTTTCTATAAGGAGCAACAGTCAATATTTCATAACACAGTGGCCACTAGATTTCCATTTCATTTATCTGCATTTCACAGACAGGTATGAAAGTCGGGAATTTAAATTGCTACTTGACTCTCAGTTTGAAATTACATTATTTGGCCTCGACAACGCAGCTCATAACAAAAGTGGTTACACAGCTGAGCAGGACAATGTACACAGATGATGAGATGGTCATTCCAATTCTTAAAACGAGCTCAGATTAAGTAATTAAGGCCATTTGCCTTGTGTGCGGTGGCATTTCCTTTGAACTGTGAGCCAGTCTTACTGAGCAATATTGCTGTGTTAGAAGAAGAAGGTTCAACCTTGATTTTCAGACATTCAGATGAGGTTCAAAAAGAAGCTCAAACCCTGCAAACTGACTCAAACATTTAAACGTCAAACGAGTGAAGAGAAACAACATCAACAAAAGCTACGAGGTGGGGTGGCTGGGAAATAATTAGCCGCTTGATTCAAAACAAACCTGACAGTGAGCCGTTCAAGCGCTCACCTATGAAACATACTTCGCATGACACTTTGCTGGCGGAGGCACACAGCTGAGCGGCCTCTATAAAAGGTAAATTTCACCCAGACCCTCCCTTGCTCAGTCTCCTCCATCGTCTACCCCTGCCTGTAACCAAGTCCCAGCTTTTCAGAACTCACACGCCGCCTCCTCTCTGCCTCTAACCTCAGCCAGCCTGTCTTTACCTCAGCTTCCTCAAGTGGAAAGTGGGGGAAATCCTAATTACCACCGCAGGGTCAGTGTAAGAGTTAAGTGAGATGACTATGAAAGGTGCAAAACCTTGGCATGGTGACTAGGCCATCTACTCAGGTCAGCCAGGGGCTCCCCTCATCCTCTATCCAGTTACCAATCACCTCCTTCATGGGGATTTGGGGTCTGAACAGCATCAAGGCTGAGACAGACCTTTGGGCCCCAGAGTCTTCCAGGAAGGACAACCCCCAGAGCGCCTGCGTCCCAGGCACGGTCAGTGCTAACTGGCAGCGGCTGGCAGCTGTCACAAATTAATCATGACTAACTGTGTGTCTCTGCCCCCAGGCTCCTTCCTCGGTGCCCATGAGCCCATTCTCATCTGTGCCTGGGGCCCGAGTCGTCTGAACACGTTTCGTTCCCCACGGTGGAAGGCTGCCCTCCATCCAGAGAGAGGCTGAAAATAAAAAGACGTCAGAAGGGTGACTTTCCCTGCTCTGCCCGTGGAGGCTCCCCTACTGCACCCCAGATGATCAGCCACCACCGGCCATGGGGTGCTTCCTCCCCGACGCCAGGCGGCCGGCCGGAAGAAGCAGAGGACTATCCACCGAGCCAGCCCCTGTGCATCACAGATAAATCCCCAGTTTATCTGCCGCTGCCTCCTCACCAGCAGTCCTGGTGGCACAAGAAAAGGTGCCAACGACCCGTCAAGCTACATGTCACGGTGTCTCCAGCCCCATTCTCCGCTGAGCAGTGGCGGGGATGCTAACGATAATGACAGGCAGAAAAAGGGACACTGTGAAACTGGGATGTGGGCTGCGAGAGCCCCCGTCTTCCCAAGTCATACAAAGAATTCGGATCAAATTATGAACCTCAAAACGTGCCAGAGGCTAGTTACCATCGCCTCATTGCATGAGTCAAAACAGGTCTGGAACCAAAGGGATTGTATCAGATTTTAAGGCTTCAGAAGCATCAAGAGAAGCCAATTCCCTGACCCACACTGCGTACTCAGAAGTGCCCAGGAGCTGGGGCACCTGGCTGGCTCAGACAGTGGAACGTGCGACTCTTGATCTCAGGGTTGTGAGTTCAAGCTCCACGTGGAGTGTAGAGATGACTTAAAAATAAAATCTTTAAAAAAAAAAAAAAAAGAAGTGCCCAGGAGCATGACCGACTGGATGGGACAAACTTCATGTGCAGAGCCATCCCCTGACATTTATGACCAGGGAACACCCCTGCTTCCCACTCCCGGGGCCCCTGACAGCCTAAATGCCAGTGGCAACATCCCCAGTCACTGTAAATGACCGAATGGGACCCCCACAAGCCTTCAAAAGCCCTGATCGAAAACCAGTGAACCTGGCCCTTGACCAGAATGTCACAAATCCAAACAGAAGAGCAGCATCAGGGAGAGACAGACAATGGCCCAGTGACCATTCTGCCTGCACTGCCCCGGGCAACAAGGACAAATCACAAAAGTAATGCCACTAACCACCAAGACCAGGCCAAACTGTACAATGACCTTGCCTTTAAAATCAGAACTACACGGGCGTATATCCTGGATGGGGTGCGGGAGGGGTGGAGATGGAGGAAACAAGATTAACAGAGTGTTTGCAAGTGTCAAAGGTGCGGGCAGGGGAAAAAGAAGGTCCATCACACTATTTTTTCTACTTTTGTGGGGTGTTCAAAAGCTTCAATAATAAAAGAAGGTTTTTTGTGAACAAAACAATAGAAGGGTAAAAGCTCCTACTAGCTCTCCCCCCCCACCCCACTCGTGGCCACAGCTGGAGAGGGAGCTGAGAAAGGCTGTCAGACAGATGGGCTCCTGGGCTCTGATGCCGTGAGTGAGGAGTAAGACAGCGGTAACCACCTGGGCAGGATCCGAAACCAGGCCTTCCACCCGGTCTGAATGACCCTCTGTGTCCCTCCGGCATCTGTCCTGTGCAGAGGACACCGCAGTTTCTCATCCTGTCCC